CATTGGAGCTGGATCGTGGTTGGGAGGGGGAAAATCGGAAGAGGTGGGGGCTTCCGGTTGCAACATGCAGGGACGAAGGAGTGACAGAGAGAGAGAAAGAGAAGGAGAATTTGAATGGGGAAATAGGGTAGGGTACAAGTTGAGATTGTTTTGGTACCAGGATTCGGGGATTTGCACCATAATCTACGAACCTTGTTCACCTTCATGTCGGGTTGACCCCGCCTCCACTGTAAAACACTCACACTTCGTACAACGCAGTGCTTTTTCGTTAGTAAAAAGGTATGCTTCATTTCATCGTCATATATACTACTTTTTCTTTTTTTCTTTTTTAATATGAACACCTCTTTTTTTTAAAAAAAATTATAAAATATCTAATTTTTTTAACAAAATTATTTTACATTTATAACATTTAATTTAATTTGGTATTTTATTTTTTCTTTTTCATATACTTCATTTTTTTTTATTTTTACATGTATTTTTTATTTTTTTCTACTCTTTTATTACTTTAGTAAATAGATTTTTTTTTTAATTTTTATATTATTCTTTTTCATTTTCTCATTTCAATCTTTACATTATTACTCTTTCATTCTCCTTTTTTTTTCACACGCACTTTTAATGTAGAACTAACTTTCCACAATGTTACATTGTATGTGATTTCTTCGACAACATTCAATGTGTTGATTTAAATATGTATTTATTCTTTAAACACTTTATTGGTTTACACATCTAAAAAAAAACATTATATTTAGTATGCCAAATGATTTTTACTGTTTTGAAAAGTATTTCTCGAAATAGTAAAATTAGTATTTTAAAAAGTATTTTTCATAACATTAAATTTAATGTTAAAGTTTTTAGAAATATAAAAGAAAAAGAAATGTTAGAAGAAAAATGTACATCTAATTCGACATCTTTGAAACTGTCGAGGAAGTTGTACATGCTTACGACACAATTGTGTACTAATTATAAGATTTGGGTGCATGTAAAAATCGAAAGAAATAAGAAATAATAGAATAATGTGAAAACAAAAACAATTAAAACTATATATTCAAATAGGTGAAAAATAGAAGAAAGACAAAGATATATGTGAAAACTAAAAGAAAAAGGAAGGAAGTGTGTGAAAAAAAGGAAAGTATTAAATTAAAAGTTAAAAGTATAAAATTTAAAAATTAAAGAATAAAAAAATTAAAGATATTTTAAAAAATATAATTAAAAAAAAAAATAAAGGAGGTATATATATGATTTATCTCATATTATTGTGAAAATTAAGTTATTAAAAAGATCAATAAACAAAATTGATCTTATATTATATGAATAGAAGAAATAAGAAATAATAGAATAATGCGAAAACAAAAACAATTAAAGCTATATATTCAAATAGGTGAAAAATAGAAGAAAGATAAAGATATCTGTAAAAACTAAAAGAAAAAGGAAGGAAGTGTGTAAAAAAAAAGAAAGTATTAAATTAAAAGTTAGAAGTATAAAATTTAAAAATTAAATATATTTTAAAAAATATAATTAAAAAAATAATAAAGAAGGTATATATATGATTTATCTTATATTATATGAATCGATTGTGAAATTTAAGTTATTAAAAAGATCAATAAACAAAATTGGACTCAAAGTGTTGTCCATACAATTTTTATTTGGCTCATTGGCCTTTTTTTTTTTCTTTTTAGCTCTTCTTATTTCCCATCGTAATTTTTCTTAACAAAAATACACTACACTAAAATAAGATTATGATTTGTTTATGTGAGGGATTTTAATTACACTTGCTACATGCTCTTTTTCCTAATTTTTTTTATAGGTGAAATTTATTGTAAAACACCAATTGTGCGAGTTTCTCTTTTTATTTAGTTATAAAATTCATAGAAGATTGTGATTTTTAACCACAAAAAAAAAAGAGTATTGAAAAAAATATCACTAGTATATTTTTTTTTATAATTACTTTCGTGTATATATATATATGGTTAAATGTTCTAATTTCAATGTAACTATCGTAGACTAAAAAATTTTAAGAGTACCATACATTTTTCAAACCAATAAAAAACATTTTATCATATAACTTTATGTCTTATAATTTTATTGTCTATTATAATTTTATATTCTTTATTATGAACCAATAAAATATTTTTTAAAAATTACAATATAATCATTTTCTTTTACAATAAACAATTTACAGTTATATTATCTCCAATCATAATTATAAGTAATAAATTAAAATTTTCATTAATTTTAATCGTAAGTATAATTATTAGTTTTCAAAATTACTCAAGATTGAATTTTTTTTCTATATTTCATTTTTGTTAACTCTATTTTCTATATATCTTTTTTAATTAATATTAAATATAAAAGATTCTTTAATAAAATTTAAATTTATAATATAATTAATTAAAAGTAATCATATGAATTACTTATTTTTTTAATTTTAATAATTTATTTTATAATACTTATAATTAGGACTATGATTTTCTATTACTCTCGTTCCTTTTCCATCATCACTCACGCTGGATTAGTATTTGATTAATCATAAGTCTCCATTTCTCCGCTGATTAGAAGTTTAGAAAATAATAAAAGTAAAGTTTTGGGGCAAGGATTCATGAAGAGCAGTTTCTTTACAGGCCCAATTTGAAAAATGAGTTAGATGATCCAGTCATTCAACAACTTATTTTTCATAGTCCAACCACAGAAACAAAACACAACCAATCAGAAACACTGAAACAGTCAAGTGTTGTTTGTCACAACTCACAAACACTTGAGCTGAGTGAAGCAACATGAAGAAGGTGAACAAGAGTTCCCACAACCCCATTACCAAAATGTCAACTTGTAAACTACCAATTAACTTTCTCTTACTGGCTCTCTGTTACTCCTTGCTTCCTGCGTTTTCTTCAGCACCAAACCGGAAGCCCCCACCACTTCCGATTTTGCCCCTCCCAACGAAGTTCCAGCTCCAATGGCAACTCAGCGACATGGCCCTCTTCTTCCACTTCGGCATCAACACCTTCGCCGACTCCGAGTGGGGTTCCGGCAGCATCCACCCCACCGCCTTCAACCCCACAAAACTCAACGCATCGCAGTGGATAAGGGTCGCCAAAGACTCTGGCTTTTCGCGAGTCATCCTAACTGCCAAACACCACGATGGCTTCTGCTTGTGGCCCTCTGATTACACCAACTATTCGGTCCGTTCCACCAACTGGAGGAATGGGAACGGCGACGTCGTCGCCGACCTCTCCGCCGCCGCCAAGGACGCCGGCGTTGGACTTGGAATCTACCTTTCGCCCTGGGATCGCCACGAGTCCTGCTATGGAGACACTTTGCGCTATAACGAGTTCTACTTGGCACAAATGACCGAGTTACTCACTAGGTATCTAACTAAACTAGCTTTGCCTTTCTTCTCGTCTTTATTTATTTACTTATTTGCCAATTTGCTACCAATATGAATAGTAATCCCACATTGAGTAATGGGTATGTACCCTTCGAGTTCATAGCCGATTACAGTAAATTATTTTGATCGAGTATATGTGGAGTATTGTGTCATTTACTATCGACTTAGCTAAAACAAAGTCCAATAATTTAGTATCATAACTACATAAATTTACTGCATATAGGGTTGGATCTAATTATTGTTGGGATTTTTCCAAATACAAGTATATAAACTTTCCTACCGGGAGGTTACACTTTTGAATGCTTTGGAATGGTACAGTGTAACTCTTTCTAAATAAGAATTCATACCAGAATAATACAGTGAGAAGCTTGATGTAGTATTTAAGTTAAGAAGCTCTCCAACATAAGTAGTGTGTTTGAGATAGGTATGAAAATTAAACTGTGTAATCAATTATTGTCTTGATGAATTATAATCTTAATGAATTATTGGTTTGGATAAATTTGTTTAAAAAATGATTTTAAGATAAAAAACTATTGAAAAATAATCATAAACTTCAAATTTTCAAATACATAAATACAACTTATTTGTCAAGAAAAAAAAAATAGTCTTTTATAAATTTCAGCTGTTGTCATAAATGTATGGCTTATTTTGTAAACAATTTGGTTTTAAACGGTTGAAACGGGGAAATAATGTTTCCCGAACATGCTTGTCATGAACTAGTCTTTTGGATGGACTCGTATTTTGTTTAAGTCATAACTTGTGCATTAAGTCATAATAAACATGCATTTGATTTTTGATTTAATTACTAGTGTATTATAACCAGGTATGGAGAGATAACAGACATTTTTCTGGATGGTGCAAAAGGAGAAGGGGAGAAGGACATGAAATATCTCTTTGATAGTTGGTTTTCTCTGATTCACCAGCTCCAACCGGGGGCCACCATTTTTTCTGATGTGGGTCCTGACACAAGGTGGGTTGGTGATGAATATGGTGTTGCTGGGTCCACTTGTTGGTCTCTTTACAACAAGACGGTTTCTGATATTGGTAATGTTGATAGCCAGTGAGTTCTATTTCGTACAACACTCCTACTCTAGTTTCCCTTCCTTTTAAATTATGTTTGGTTTAAATGTTTCTTTTATTGTCAGTTTACTCACACTGCATCATGTAGATTATAATTAATGCTAATTGCATGGTGTATGATCTGTGCCAAGCGTTTTTCCTAGAGCAATTTTGAAAGTCATGGAATTGTGTCTTTCTAATTCTATTATTCTTCATGCATATCAGAGGACTGAACTTATTCTGATTCAGCTGATTCATTGATTTTAAATGAAGTTGAAGAATGTAAATTTCATTCATTAGTTCTATGTTGCATGTATCTTGGCAATGCATGAAGGTCTGGAGGATCATGTAGATGAGTAGAAACAAATGCTTGTGAAAAATGTGCTAGTCACTGGATTACATAGAGTAATGTAATGTAGACATTTACCAATGTTTTGATCATCTAACAGATACCAAAGAGAAGGAGACCCATTTGGTCCTGATTGGGTACCTGCTACATGTGATGTCTCTATAAGACCCGGTTGGTTTTGGCATGATTCAGAACTTCCAAAATCTGCAAGGAGTCTACTTGAGATCTACTATAAATCAGTTGGTCGAAACTGTCATCTGTTATTGAATGTGCCCCCAAACACCTCAGGTCTTATTTCAGATGAGGATATCCAAGTTCTTCAAGAGTTCACTGAACTTAGGAGGTCCATATTTTCTCACAATTTGGCTATAAATGCTGTTATCAATGCCAGCAGCATAAGAGGGGGAATTCTAGAGACTCACTTTAGTCCCTACAATGTTCTTAAAGAAGGTATATACACATATTGGGCTCCCGAGGAGAACCAATCTAAGTGGATATTGTACATAAATCTCCAAGAATTAGTATCCTTCAATGTTTTGCAAGTACAAGAGCCTATTCAAATGGGACAGAGGGTGATTGAGTTTCACCTTGAGGCATTGAGCCAACACGGTGTGTGGATGAGAGTTGCAAATGGCACCACAATTGGATATCAGAGACTGTTGCTGTTTCCAAAAGTGAAGTCTGAGTATCTGAAGCTAGTAGTTGACAAGTCACGGGCAGAACCATTGATATCATACTTGGGAATCTACATGGATCCTGTTACCGTTTTGAGAGAGACACCTGATAAACAATCAGTAGCCTGTTTCAATGGAAGTCAAGTTCTGCAAACCACCACAATCAACAATTCCCTGAGTGCTGCAATGTAAACTTTTCTTAATTGTAAAATTTGAAAACATTTTACATGGCAAATTCACGTTCAATTCTCTTATCCCCTTTGTAATTCCTGTAATTTGGAGATAACCAGAAGAGTTTGATCTCAATGAATTGGTGTCTTCTTTTGTACTTTTCCTTTATTAGTTCTCTCCCACTTTGAGTGTTAGAATACTGTTATAATGTCAATATATTTTCTAATATACTTGTTCATTAGATTTTTATTAAATGATACTTGTCTCATCTTTTATTTAATTAGTTTCATTTATTATTATTATTATTATTCTATAAATTTCCCTCCATATTAGTGTTAAAAAATTTATTATAGCTTTTTTATTATTATAATAGAATGCTAACTAAGGTCAAAAGTGTAAAAAATGATAACAAAAATATTATCAATCTGTTCTCATTGATCTTTTAATAAAATAATTCTACACTTTTGGGCTAAACGACCATTGTAAGACACTTTTAGAAATTATATACCAAAATGGGGCTGTTTTGAAACATATTACACTTTTGGGGCTGTTTTCATGGGTGTCGCTATGGGTCATAGCGACACCCATGACACGTGGCAATTTTGGGTCTGATTGTAAGCCATGAACGCCATATTTGTAGTGTCGCTATAGCTGGTGGAGTCTCGAATAAAGTCGCTATAGGCTATAGTCACTCAATTCGGCTAAAATTGAAGTCGTTATAGCCTATAACACTACATTTATATAAATAATATAAAAAATATACTAATATAAATTTAAAAATATAAAAAAATATGTGAAGAAAAAAATGAATAAAACTAACCTAATATAAGAAAAATAAAAAATAATAATTAAACTATAAAATAACAAATGAAAAAAAAATATGGGGCGCTATGGCCCATGGCTCCACTAAGGCGCTATGGCCCATAGCGCCGTTTTTAAAAATATATGTATAACGTTAATAAATATAAAATTTGTTTAAAATTTTAAAATAAAATTTCTTATAAAAGCAAAAAAAAAAAGAATTTAAATAAGAAAAAATAAAATTTAAAAAAAATTAGTTATATAATGTAAAAAAATTTATAAAAAAAAAAAAAAGTTTGGGGCGCTATGTGCCACAGCGCCTTTGTTGGCAGTTTGATGCTTTCCCAGGTGGAGCTATGGGCCATAGCTAAGAAATCAAAAATTACAAGAAAGATGAAATTCAAATTTTCTTCAAATGAAATGCAAATTTACACTCCAAATGAAATGTAAATCCACAATCAAATGAAATTAGTGGCTGCACTAAGAGTTTTAGAAACCAAAATTCAGCCACTAATTTTAGTGACGGATTTGGTATGGAAAATTTTTGAAGACAAATTTTCGTCACTAAATTTGTTACTAAATCCTTCACAAAATTTTCACAAACAATTTTGCTCCTTCTTGCTCTAATCCAGCCACCATGCTGCAGCCTCACAAGGTGTTTCACTCCTCTTTTTAGAAGCAACCCTGACTTTGGTCACTTCTAGGTGTTTTCAAGAGTCTTGCCACCAAGAGAGAACAAGCTCCCTAAGCAAGCACCAAAGCCTTCAAGTTGACTTCCTTTGACTTGTTCTTCTACACCTTTTAAGAAGCACTCAACCACGTTCAAGACTGGAGTATTAGTGTAAAAACTGAAAATGCACAATTTAGAATGGCTACACCAAATGGTAGAATGAAATGAGACAAACTAGAAGGAGTTTCACAAAAAATGACAAGCAACAATTAAGGCTAATTTGGAAAGCTAGCACACAAAAGATATCCTATCAAAGGCACTAGAATGGATTAAAAAACAAAAGCTAAGATTAGAAACAAAAATAAGACACAAATTATGTGGCTGGACCGAAAATATGTAAGCAAACACACACCAAAACCGAGAGCTAGTTTCACTAGATTTTTCACTCCTTTTGGCTTTTTCTTTTGCTATTTTCTTTCTTTTCTTTTTGCAAAATATTTTTCACTTGTTTTATTTGATTAATCAGTAGTTTAAATTCCTTTTGAGCACTTATAAGTCTCGGTTTTAGGTTAGAAAAACTGCAGAAAAAATTTCACACAAAACAAGAGGTGTTCTCATGCATTTTGTAACTAGTGCTTCACAATTTTGTAGTGTTTTTAGGTCAAATTTTTAAGCACTCATTCTTTTGTTTTTCTCATGCATTTAGAACACTTACACCTTGTCTCTGTTTTACTGTTTTTAAAATTGTAATAAGTTTCAGCCACAAAAATACTCAAGGAAAACCTAATAGGAATTAGTGTTTATGACTTTTTTTTGACAAAACTTTTAACAAGACATAATAGAAACCTAACTCTAGGAAATTTGCTAGAACTAATAGCAAATTATGAACTCAAACATGTAAAACAAAAGCACATATAGGTAAGGTACATATTCAATAAGCAACAGACACAAAAATTTCGGACACAACAACAAAAAGCAAAAATTAGGTCAAACAAGCTAGTGTAGGAGTTTTCAACATACAAAGGACTACACATGACTTTCTAGGACAAAACAAGTGATTCAAAAACAAAATCTATGCTCAATGAATGTTTTCCAATCACGGACACATGTGAATGAATGGAGAATACTTAAGAAAATACAAAAACACACAAGTTCAAGAGTCCTAGAAGCACAAAACCGAAATTAATTCACAAGAATAGGAAACAAGCAAAAATGAATCAATTAATTCATACTTGACATATAAGATCCATCAAACATTGTATTAGAACTAGATCCATGCAGAAAACTCAAGTTTAGACATAGGAGAAGGAAGATTAGACAACACGGATTCAAGTAAAACAAGTTAGAAACAAAACCTCAAGAGAACGAGGCTCTAGATACCAAAAATGACGGAAACACCCGGAGGAGAATGATGTTCTTCCAAGTCTCCATGCTTAGGACCGTGAACTCTTGAGGTAGACCTTAAAGGAAGCTTGAAACTCCACGAAGAAGTCTTCATTGGAGGAGAAGCCTTAAGGTGATTTGGTTACTCCTAGCTTGTTGTAGAAGCTTGAGGAACCAAGGTAAAGGTTGAAGAACCTTTGGTAGGAACCTAGAGAGAAAATTCTCTACGGTTTTGGAGAACTCTTGAGAGAGAAATCTGAAGTTTATTTCTCAAATTTGTCAAAAGTGAACACAAGAGAAGGTTTTACAAATATATAGGGATAGGTAGCTTCTATGAGAAGCTAACCTTAACCATGGTTCACTAGGAACCATGGTAAGGTGTAGCTAAACTTCCATGGTTTATAAAACTTGTAGGAGAAGCTTCCTTGACCATGGTTCACTTAAGAACCATGGTAAGGTCAAGTCAACCTACAAAGGCTTAGAAACTTGGAAGGGAAGCTACTAAGCTTGGAGGAGGAGACTTGAAATTTTCGGCCAAAGAGAGACTTGGAGAGCTAGGCGGCCAAGTGCTCAAATTGCTCCATGATTTAATTCAAAAATGTTTGATTTGGTTTAGTTAGGTTCATCATTTGATGATGAGATCTAGCTAAATCAAATCTATGAAAAATTAGGAGCAAAATGAGTCCAATATGTAAAATTTTGCCTAGGCTCAGTTCTGGCCCAATTACTAGTCACACCCTCAAGCATTGCTAAATGCCACCCCTTTTTCCCTACTGAAAAAATACAAAATGATTGTATCAACTAGGGAGGTTAAATGGAGTTAAACTCTCCAAGTAGCCTACCTTAAAATCAATATACAAACACTAGAAAAAGCAAGTAAAGTGCCTTACAAATACAAAGGCAAAAATACACTAAAACAAGAGAACTATGTACAAACTTTATACAAATAGAACTAGGCCTTCTCTTCATGATAGAGTTGTCCAAGTGAGGAATACCTTGGGCTTAAGAAGCCCATTAGTCTTCAAGAGGTCCAACTCTTCTTGTATTCTTCTAGCCATAGCTCTGGTAACTAGGCCATTGGCCAATGGTCTATCATCCGAGCTTCGTCTCGGAGCTAGTCAATCAAGTCGAGATCAACCGCTAACTCTTGAGCATTCTGCTCGCTCTTGGCGTCGGTGAGATGTCTCTCTGATTTCCACTGGAATCTTTGCGTCAGCTCCGTAAGTCAGCCTGTAAGGCATTTCTTGCATTGTTGATTGGGGGGTGCAATGATACGCCGAGAGGATTCTGGGAAGCTCGTCGGCCCACTGTCCTTTAGCGTTCCCCAGCCGCTTCTTAAGTTCTCGGAGGATGACCTTGTTGGCGGCTTCGGCCTAGCCATTGGTCTGGGGTTGGTCCACCAAGGTTGGGAGATGCTTGATACCGAGCTCACGGAGGAAGTCCTCGAAGCCTTGTGTGATAAACTGCCTGCCGTTGTCAGTAACGAGGGTGTAAGGGATTCCAAATCTGCAAACAATATTCCTCCAGGTGAATCTCTGTACATTTTTGGTGGTGATTTTGGCGAGTGGGCATGCCTCGATCCACTTGGTGAAGTAGTCGATCGCCACTAGGAGGAACTTGAGTTAACCTTTCGCGGGGGGGAATGGCCCGAGAATGTCCATTCCCCACTGGGAAAAAGGCCATGACAACATCATCTGGTGAAGAGTTTCGGGTGGTTGCCGATGTGTGTTACCGAATTGCTGGCATTCTTTGCACCTTTGTACATAGTCCTGGCAATCCGATTTCAAAGTGGGCCAGTAGTATCCTGCTCGGAGTACTTTGGTCGCCATTGAGCATGCCCCGGAATGCATGCCACATATGCCTCGGTGGATCTCCTTGATGACATAGGCTGCCTGAGGTGCAGTTAAGCATTTGAGCAGTGGGGTGGAGATGCCATGCTTGAACAGTTCATCGCCGACAATCACGAACTTGGCCGACCTCTACCTCATCTTCTAAGCTTCTTCCCTATCTTTGAGCAAAACTCCTGCCTTCAAGTAGCTCCAGATGCCTGTCATCCATCCCTAGTCTTCACTGTTGCTGGTGTTGACGACTTTGTCGTCTAGGCTGGGTGAGTGCAAGGTCTCCTAGATGATAGTCCGATGTTGTCCAGGGCGTTTGGTGCTGTCGAGCTTTGATAGAAGGTCGGCTCTGGTGTTCTGTTCTCGCGGTACATGTTATATAGTGAACTCGTCGAAGGACGAGATCTATTGTGATGCCATGTGGAAATACCGTTGTAGGAGAATGTCCTTGGCCTGGTATGTTCC